TGCAGTACTGCAGGCTACTTCTGCTGACTGCTGCCTGCCTGCAATTTGGCAGTTTGAATCGCACCAGGTTCAAGGTTGACTTAGCCTTCCATCTTTCCAAGGTTGGTAAAATGAGGACCCAGATTGTTGGGGGCGATAGGCTGACTCTGTAAACCGCTTAGAGAGGACTATAAAGCACTGTGAACCAGTATATATGTTTAAGTGCTATTGCTCAGCTGACATATCTGCATTACCTTCAAGAAGGCTGGCAATATATACTGTATGTATGTATGTATATCGATATACATATATACAGGCAAATTACTCATTAATGCTTTAGGTCCAGTTTAAACAGTTCAAGCTACTTCCCTCACTTAAATAACACTTGCTGTGATGCTATAGCCACAGTTCCCACTTCCATTTTTCCCCCTTATCTGGCATCCTTGTTTGCTTAGGAATTTAGAGAAAAAACAGAAGACAGATTATTGGTTAAAATGTATTTTCAGGGCTTCAGACTAGTGACAATTTAGCTTATAAAGTTGAGTTTGGACCGAACCTTTAGAGATGAATCAATATATAGAGCAGTATGTCATTGTCGTGTGTGTGTTCAAGTTAGTTTTTAATTCCTGGCAACTACCTGGACAATTCCATGGAGTTTTTCTTGGCAAGATTTTCATAAGTGGGTTTTCCATTACATTATTCCTAGGGCTGAGAGAGCGACTGGCCCAAAATCACCAAGTTGGCTTCATACATTCAAAAAACGCCTTTCAGAGCATCCTTTTTACACAGTACTGGGACACTGAATATAAAACACTTTGGCATAACTAACAAGCTGGGTCCACACTTTGTAGAGTTCATATGCTTGATTACGAAAGCATACTTGATTGGGTCCACAAAAACATAAGCCTAAGCCCACTAGGGTTAGCACAATGAGAACCTACTCAACAGTTGAAAGGTTAGAGTGCTCCATTGCCTCTCAAGTCATAGCAGAGAACGAGTCTAAGTGTTGAGCAACAGAGGAAAGGTGAGCCTCGGAGAGGCTCTTTAAATCAAGATTGTTTGACAGGCTACTATTCAGTAGCTAGAGGAACATTAAGGATGTTATCCATACCAAGAGTTAGACTGAGAAGGCAGCAAGAGAATCCTGCCTACTACTATGCACACACATTGTGATGGACCCAAGTATCTCTAATAACCTCATTTAATACCCTATCCTTCACAATGGAGGGGAATCACAGTTCTGGGGCTGAGCATGCAGTCGTTTTGCAGAAGGGCCCAGATTCGATCCCTGCAGTGTGTGGGTGGTAGTGGTGTCTCCAATAGCACAACTGGGAAACATCCTGATGTGGGATAAGCTGAAGAACTGCTATAATGCAGACAAAAAAACACATCAGTGCTGCCTGTTCTGTAGAAAGGAAGCTTGCCTTATTCAAGATGGTTTGCTCCACAGGAAGAGGAGCCAGAGTCCAATCCTTGGGTTCTGTATGTAAGTGGTGGGTTCCTACCGGTTCAGCTGAACCGGTAGTGGTTTGGCAGCCTAGGTTGCTGGAACCAGCAGCGACCCAGGCCTGCCATGGCCCCGAACTGGTTTCCCAGCTGGCACCATAGGTGCTACCATTTTGTTTTTAAGTTCTGCACATGCACAGAACAATTTTAATTGCACTGTGCACGCACACAAGCACAAAGCACACGAGTGAACCAGCAGTAGTGCTGGCCGGAATCCACCCCTGGTACGTTAAGTCTAAGAAAGATTCCCATTTGAATCCTAGGTGAGCTGTTTCCCCAGAAACAATTTTTCATGGATGGAATGCAGTGCCGTTACGGCGATGAAGCAACAGAATAAAATAAAGGGAGTTACCCAGTGAGATGCCAAGAAATACTGATATAACTGTAAGCAACTGGCTTTTGTACCTGCCAAGCCCCTGCTGCACCTTTCTTTTTAATTATTTTTGTTAAGTGAAAATATGGGCATACTTCCAACTTCATCTGCCTCCATCTTATGGGGGCCCCAGAGGCATTAATTACAAGAATCTCCTGAAGTCTTTCTAAACATTACATATGAACACTGCAGCCTAGTGCTTTGTTTAGAAGTCCATCCATCTACTCAGGTATAGGATAAGTGTTAAGTTGATCTAGTAAAGTGAGGTCAACTGAATGACAGGGAATAGTTTCTCAGTTCACCCTGACCATGGAATATTTTGAGTCCAGCCACATCGACTGTGGCAAACATTTTGTGAGAATACTCACAATATGCCAACATTCCAGATCTGCCAACCAGCTGCAAACAGTTTGCTATCCTCGATCTAAAATTTTTGTCTATGTGCCAGAACGTCACAACTTCAAAAGAAACAAGCTGATAACTTTATTTTCATTTTCTCAGTTCTTCCCCGCCAGCTAAAGGCTATGACTCAAGGCACAGTGAAATACATCTCATTACAGAGTAGCTGGGCCTACATCTATTTAGCTGCTTGGTCATAAAGTGTGTTGCTCACCTGGATCTGCAAACAGGTCATTGATTTAACAAAGTTCATTAAAGAAAACATTATCAATATCCACACTGTACATAAGCTAACAATTGAAATTAAGCATTTTCTTCCATTTCTATAAAGAAAGATAGGGAACCTCGCTGTTTGATTGCATCTGGAATTAGCAAAAACAAGTTATCCTTTATCCTACACAGCTGTTTTATGGGGCTATTTTATTCAAGCCCCAAATCCAGTCCTTTTTTCCAAGATTTACAGAATCGGCCTGATCAAATGGCTAGAGTATTGTGGAATCTACTCAGGAAAATTCCAGAGCGTTAGTTCAACTTGGGAATCAAAGAAATCTTTTTTTTAAAAAAAACCAAATGCTGGCGGGCAGCATGCTTAATCTATTCCCAGGGAAAAGGCCCATGGGATAGCTGGCAGATCAGCCTTAATTGTGCACGTATGTTTATCAGGATAGTGGATAAAAAGTTACATGATTCGTTAAGCTGTTTAGCTTTTCTCACAGTAAATGTTCCAACACAAAGTCTTTTGCTTCACCACCATGGGGCTTTGTAATAAACACAAGGGAATACAGTGTTGGGATGCCAGGAAAACCAAGAACTCATACAATCCTAAAAATACAATTTCCTTTAGCTTAGGAGATGAAGTACAAGGTCCAGTCCAATATAAATTATTTGGGAAGGCTGCAGACACAAGAAGGAAGTTTGAATCCAAAGTTGTTGCCTGTTGGGTGATATACACAATTGGACTGTATGAATATGATTCAGCAGGTAAAGTAAAAGTCAAATGACACTATTCGGTTTCAATCCTCTTCCACGATTACAGAAGAATCTTGAACAACTAGAAGTGGCATAAATCCACAGACTCTCTGAAAGAGTGATGCTATGCTAAAGAGATTGCCATGACACAGATAACACAGATGAACATATAAATACACAGATTTGCCAGTGGTCTGCTTTGCTTCTGTTAAATTTGCAGTACAATTTATTCCTTAACTTAGAAGAATTGGGGATGGGTGGGACTGCAAATCTCAGCAGTTCTTACTACACTGATTGGGAATTCCAAATGCTGCAATCCAATATAATTGGAACACAGCAGGTCAAGAAATGGCACTTACAGTAGTAGCCTCAAATATCCACTTGGCTCTGCATGCAATAAAGTCTTGTCTCGCAGTGCTCCCTAAGTTCACAGCTCAGTCTTCATTTTGTGCATTAAGTCTTTCTGGTCTATTTTATCTACTTCACGATTCCACCGATTGTAGGCTAAGAGAGCCACATTTTTGGCTGCCACAGCAGACATCTCCATGGAGCTGGCTACCCACTCCATGGTGTTGAGGTAGAAGAGGCTGTCATGTAGGATAATTGGTGGGAGGCTCTTGACTGATCCGTAATTAGGACAGACCTGCCATTCTGTCACCTGAACAGAGTAATAAGAACGGAACAGCATCTTCAATTCTTGCTTCTCCAAAGGATGCTGAGAGTGGACACGCCACACAGCAGCTTCCTGGGGCTGCTTCCGCTTGAAGGTATTAGATAAGTTGACGGGGCAAATGTTATCCATGGAATTGAAGAAGAGGCCAGGAGCTTCTGTGGTGAGGACACTGGCAAAAGGGAAAAGCTTGGGGTCTGAGAAGCCAAAGTATGAGGAGTTGAGGTAGCCGTGAACAATGGAGGTGACTGTGGTGTGAAAAGTTCCAGGAAACTCAGCAATAGGAGGATCAAAATTCTGAAAGGTAATATTGTTCTTGCTGTCATGTAGTTGAGTGGCAATGACCACTATGTCATAGAAGTTGGAACCTGGACCGTCTTCATTTTCATAGTGCACTTGGTAGAGGGGTTTTCCTTCTGGATAAAAATGCACCGGGGTGGGGGGGGTGGGGAGGAAACAGTAATTCAGACAGCTAGCAAGCAAGTCACCATCATTATCTAAGAAGCTGAATAGATGAGATTTCAAAGAGAAACAATTCTGCTAAGACCTCATAGTTTGCCCTGATTCTTGGTTGATCCATTGTTTCAGCAGCTCATTCATTGCCTGTTGGTTTTATTTTTGAAGACCAACTTGATTAGCTAAACCAGCTACAATAAGCACTCGCACAACTCTTAAAAGTAACAGATAGGAACTGATCAAAGGGCAGAGACAGGATTTCCCTGACTGGTCACAAATAAAGGAAATTTATTGTAGTTTTTGACTTTGGTAAGCGAAAATAATTGGGTTAAGTTGTATACATCTGCTGTTGTTACAGTTTGGGATATTTCATTCAAAAACTATGGTATTTTTCGGAGTATAAGACACACCTTCCCTCCCCCCCCCCAAAAAAAAGAGTGTGGAAGTGTTGGTGCATCTTATACACCGAATACAGCCATTTTTGGCCTCCGGAAGCCCCATCCTCCTATCCCAGTTTTTTGAAAAATGGGCTGTTTTCCGCAAAAAATGAGGCTTTTTTTGCCTTCTCTCAGCCCCCAGCAGCACTCTGCAGGCTTCAGCAGGGCTGGGGCAAGGCAAAAACTTTTTTTTCTTACTTACCTCTTCAAAATCTTGGTGTGTCTTATACACCGGTGCGTCTTATAGTCCGAAAAATACGGTATATATTTTATCTAGGATGATGCTAGACAGTTCAAAGCAAGTCCACAATGGCTTAAAATGATATAGCAGCAACAAGGAGGGTAACTTTCCGCAGAACACTACGGAGACTATTAAAGAAATACACAACTAAAAAAAGACAGGCAACTTTGTACTATCCAGTATTTAAGAGAAACAGTCATTATAAGGAACCTTATTATGAACGCTCCCTCTTAACAGCAAGACAAAATATGCATTTATCTAGATACTTTTAGGAAGAAAAACACAGTATATGCCAATTATATTCTGTGTTGAAACTGGGTTTATTTGTTCAGGAGTGCCACATTTTTTCCTACATTTATTTTTTTTAAAAATCTCAACATCACTCCAAAATGTTAAATGTAGAATTCTTATAATAAATTTATAACCTAAGCTATTGATGTTTATATCCTAAAGTTTAATATCTTGGGTATTCAGTGGTGTTTGACACCCCTACTCTAACAGGCAGTCCTTCATTTACAATAGTTTATTTAGTGACGGTACAACAGCACTGAAAAAAGTGACTTGTGACCATTTTTCACGCTTATGACTGTTTCAGCGTCCCCGTGGTCACGTGATCGAAATTCAGATGCTTGGCAACTGACTCACATTTATGACGGTTGCAGTGTCCCATGGTCATGTGATTATCCTTTGAGAACTTCTGACGAGCAAAGTCAAAGGGGAAGCCAGATTCATTTAACAACCGTGCTAATAACTTAACAATGGAAATGATTCACTTAACAACTGCGGTGAGAAAGGTTGTAAAATGAGACAAAATTCATTTGACGACTGTCTCGCTCAGCAACATAACTTTTGGTCTTAATCAAGGACTACCTGTAATTGCAGCTAATAGAGCTTTAAAAAGAGAAAACTCGTTTCTTTAACGCATTAAAGTGTGTTCGGTCATGTGACCATGGGGACGCTGAAATGGTCATAAGTGTGAAAAATGGTCACAGTCACTAAATGAACTGTTGTAAATGGAGGACTAGCTATATATACCACGGAAGACTCAGCAGCCTCAGACAGTGATCTGCACACACACATTCACAGGTACAGACATTTTTACTGGGCCTGCAGAAAAGGGGAACAGCTGGGCATAAACAGATATCCACAACAACTGCGGAAATCTGCAAAGCAGCCACACTGAGTTTTCCTGCAGATGTGGCCCTTACGTAACTTTGAAGAGGGGTACCTAGTTTATGCTAATCTGCTTTGTGACACTTCGGTTCTAATGCTTTGTTCAGCCTAAGTAGGCCTCCTTCCATCATGTGGTACAGTATCCGGTCAATATTCAATTGCATGTATCTCTCGGGCAGTGGTGGGCTGCAGGCGGTAGAGACGTACTGGAGCCTGCCCGGAACACCTGGTACCGTTCCGGTAGGGTGCTCCAGAGGGCCCACCCACCCACGCAAGCTCCTTACCTATCCTTTAAGCCTTTGGCGCTTCCACGCATGCACATGGCACATACAGTGCCTGTACAACACTCCGCCGAGCAGCTGGAGCATTGCGGAGGCTTGCAGAGACATTGCAGGCAGGTATGATGCATGTGCGTACTGTGCATGTTTTTGCACATGCTGCGCGCGTCCATGTGAGCGACGCCGGCCCCATTCCAACCAGATATTATCTGAATATCTGAATTCAGGGATTAAACCAGAGGGGACACTGCGTGAATACAATGAACCATGTGTATGAGTGTGTTTGCTCCTTGCCACCACTCAGTAAAGGCACTCTCAGAAATGTTGTTTTTTTCTGAAGAACCTTCCCTGAAAAGCAAATAAAAGACTCTGGAGGTGGTGAATTAGCCAGAGGTGCGAGAGAATGAAAATCTGTTACATTTCTTTCCATTAAGTCCTAAGGTTGATTCAACTCTTGTGCTACAATTCTCTCATAGAATCTCTTAACGACATTTCTCCAATATGCAGCACATCCAAATTGTCCTAAACAGCTTTTAAAGTTCAGTCTTCCGGATTTGAAGCGCACCCATACGAATGGGGAAATCTTGCAAAAGTGAGATCATTCAATTCATCCCAGCATGTTTACTTGGCCTACAGCAGCTCTTTAAAATCTCAACTATCTGGAGATCTTTTGATCTCATTTTCAATCTCGGATGAAGATGGGTTTGCGTCTGGCCTACCTGAACTGTGCAGAGAGATAGCTGTCACCCTGGCATGGATTATGTTGGCTTTGGTTAGCTTCAGCAAGCCTGAGCACACCAGCTTGTTGCCGCCTTCGACTGCCCATCGGTTGCCTTGTGCTCCTGCTAGCAACATGGCCCCTTAAAAAAGAAGTAAAGAGGGAACAGCTGTCAAGAGAATGAACAAGCCAAATTGTAAACCACCAGCCTCCCCTACAACATATTTGTCTCCCAAGCCTGAGCAATGGCCTGCTGAAAAAAGGCTGGAGCCACAGGACATGGGTAGAACTCACCTGCAAACGCAGGCACCAGTATTGATTGGCCATAGTTGGCCCGGAGAATGGCCATGATGACATCATCAATGAAGCGTTGTGTGACACCCGCCTCCAGCAGAGACTCCACCACAGAGCGTTGTGTCATGTTGACAAAGGTGTCACCCCCCAGTGAACGCAAGAGCTCCTCAAGATGAGAGAATGCATAGCCGTGGGCCTGATACTTGTAGATTCTGCAGGTCGTTAAAAAAAGGGGGGGGGGAATTTAGAGCAGCAGGACTTCTCTCTTAGGAAAAGACAGCCCTACAAGGTAGACCAAACTAAGGAACCTTGGCCATGTAGGTCAGGGTTAGATTTATTGCAACATTTCTAGCAACAGATTTTGCAAGGCAAAAGGTGACTCCTCCTCCCTCTCTTCGTGTGCACTCAGGAGGGGCTTGTCTTAGAAGTGTTCTTCAATTAATTCCTTGGCCCGGCTCAAGTTTAACTTAACTGACTGCTGCCAACTTAGTGGCTCTTCGTCCTGCCCTTCAAGGCCATTCCCTATGACAGTGATGGCTAACCTTTTTCTCCTCACGTGTCAAAATTACACGGATGTGTGTGCCAGCATGCACGCATGTGCCCACCCCCACAATGCAATGTATCCCACCCCCTGCACATGCGTGTATGACCTCCTGCATGCTCCCCCGCCCCTCACGCATGCGCGCGACCCCCTACCATGCCCCGTTTTGGGCTTAGCAGACCTCCTGAAGCCTTCTGTGCTGCAGCCCATTTTGGGACTAGCAGGCCTCCCTGAAGCCCCCCGTGCATACGTGTACGCCCCCAACCTCCTGGGCATGGGTACGTGTCTCCTGCACGCGCATCAGAGATCTGAAAGTCAGCTGGCCGGGGGGAGGCGCACACACATGCGTGTTAGAGCTGAGCTGGGTGATGGCTTGCATGCCAGCAGAGAGGGCTATATGTGCCACCTGTGGCATGCGTGCCATAGGTTTGCCATCACGGTCCTATGCTCTTTACAGAAAGTCTTAAGAATCTCCTTTAGTTAGTTTACTTGATTGATTAGCCCTTGGGCCATATCAAAGTAAAGATTTCCAGAGACAAATTATGACTAAAATCTGATAGAATATAATTTAAAGTAAAATTGGAATAAAATACAATAATTTAATATATAAACAAATAAAATATGATACAATTATATTTTGGTGTCCCCCCATCCCACGGTGTCCCTACCCCAATCAGTCCGACGTATGCCGATCTCAATCAAACCATTTTGCTTAAGCACTGTGCTGTGTTAAATGTTATTTTCCAGTTCTAGCCACACATAAGGTAAGTTGTTTTGATATGGGGATCCCAATGGATCATTCGTTTGGTATATAGACCAAGGTACCTGTCTCTCACCTGTATAAGGATACAGGCAACAACCAAATAGGATGTGAGCCAGGTCTTCCCCCTCTGTCGCTCTGCAAATATAGAGACGTCCATTGTAGGGTAGAATGGAACCTCCCATATCTGACCATTATGTCAAGCTGTTCGAATCTCGCTCGCATTAATAACTTCCTGAGATGTTTTGGCCATTGTAACTTTAAATAGCTGTCTAATTTGAAAAGTAATCTCCTTTATAGTACATTGCTACCACCTGGCTAGAAGCAAATTTGATCAAAGGAAGATGGTCCCATTTTTCTCTCACTGCCCTGTGATGGCCTCTTTGTTGCCTACCTCATGAACTTCTCCATTACTTCCTCTACCCACATTTGTAGACGTAGAAAGCTCATGCCATAGTGCCACCAGAGCCGAAAAAGGTTGAGCAGGTACCAGTCTGTCTCCTCAAGGACAAACTGCTCCCCAGTGAAGATGGCACTCTTTCCTGCCACTTCTCGGCGGTGTTTCAGTCCTAAAGAACAGAAAACAAGGTCCAGTAAGGTTGGCTTATATCCTTTTTACCATGATGGGCTTTGCAAAGGAGTTTACCTTCTTGATCTCCTTTACTGTCTACTTCTAACTTGCATTAATTCTGATAAATCTTTTTCAGTTATGATTTTTAATACCGTTTCTCATTTGTTATCACACTTATTTGTGCTTCTTCCATTTTGGCACTGCAGAGCTCCATGACACTGGCCAGATTTGTTACCACAAAACACCCACAAAAAATATGTTTCATCTTCATCTACAAGAGCGGATTGTATCTTAAAAAGCAGTGAAGACTGGTTAGGAAAATAAAGACAATTCCCAACCTTATTTAAAAGTAAAACAACTTGGGTTTCTGCTGGACTATGGCAGAACTGTGTCTAGAATTAATTTGTCCTGATGGCATATTGCCTCTTATCACTTTCAGCCAGTGGTGGGTTTCAAATTTTTTTCGAACCTACTCTGTGGGTGTGGTCTCCTTTGTGGGAGTGGCTTGCCAGCCATGTGACCTGGTGGGAGTGGCTTGCCAGCCATGTGTTTTCTTTCGTTCTCTCTCTCTCTCTCTCTCTTTCCATCCTTTTGTCTCTCTGTCCCTTTTTCCTTTTTTTCTTTCATCTCTCATTTTTTTCTTTTTCTTTCTTCCTTTCTGTCTCTTTCTCTTTCTCTCTCTGTGTGAGTCTGTCTATGTGTGTGTGTCAGTGGTGGGTTTCAAAAATTTTTGGAACCTCTTCTGTAGGTGTGGCCTGCTTTCTGGTGGAACCTCTTCTAACCGGTTCGGTAGATTTGATGAACCAGTTCTACCGAACAGGTGCGAACTGGTAGGAACCCACTTCTGCTTTCAGCCCAAATCACACATTAAGATAGGTGCCAGTCAATCGGCGCAAACCCAACTTTTAGCTAGCAAGGTTGTGGTTAAGGGGAAAAAAGAGAGATGTGAGACCTCTATATGCTTCCCGGAGTGTGATTGCAAGTGGGGAGTCCATAAAGTTCCATAAATAGTATATAATATTACAGGATTGTCTATTTTCAGTTTCACACCAAGGCGGATTTAATAATTGGACGTTGCTGTTACAGTTGTTACATGATATTATATATCATTGTACATTAATGTACATTTCATTATATTTAAAGTCCACCTTTCCTCTGAAGGAGTGGAAAGGCTCAGCTGAAGTTAGCATATATTGATTTATTTATTAATCAAATTTATGGAGTTGTCCATCTCACTAAAAAACGACCACAACACAAACTCTAGGCGAAGGGCCAATAAGAATGGCTATCTCAACTTTGGAACCATTAAGCATGTTATATGAGGATTCCCCTCAATTTAAGTTCTCAAACTCCACTAGAAGGCTGGGCTGAGAAAAGGAACTGGTCCAAAGTCACTCGATGAGACCCATGTTGCATTGTGGTTTGATCCTGGCTTTCAGTTCAGCGCTGCTTTATACTTAAACACCCATGGATCAAGCACATTGCCATGATGTACACCAGTGGTAGTCAACCTGGTCCCTACTGCCCACTAGTGGGCGTTCCAGCTTTCATGGTGGGCGGTAGGGGTTTTGTCCGATACCGAAGGACTTTCCTTTCTTAAAATTTAATTGACTTTTAAAAAAAATTTCATGGCATTATTTAAAAACATTTTCATTAGGTTTTCAGAATATCACCATTACTGTGGAACCGGTGGGCGGTTAGAAAATTTTACTACTAACAGAGATACAAAAGTGGGCGGTAGGTATAGAAAGGTTGACTACCCCTGATGTACACAATGCATATATTCATAGTGAACCATCACCATTCATTCACAAAAAGGGAGTATCTTAAGGGGGAGGGGGAACTTCCAAGTTGGAATCTCCCCCAAATAGTTCAATTGTATTCCAAAAGAACAAATAGGAATAGAATGTTTGGGCAGGAAATGGCAGGCTGGCTGAGTAGAACAAGTGAGTGAGCACTGTTGTAACAGAACAATGAGTCCTGACCTCGTCTATACACCATGCCTGAGGAACCAAAGATCTGCCATACCATCCAAGTTCAGAGGCAATAAAAGAATATGCAGAAACCAAGCTTGAAGTTCATATATCTAAATCAGGGGTGTTAAACTTTGGGCCTGCAGGCCGGGTGCCTCACCCCCCCCCCCCCATTTTAGGGGGGGGGGGGGGGAAGGCGTGATGTATCATGTGACGACAACGTGATGATCA